AATAACTGAACAGATTGTGCACATTGCACACGGAATCGATTCCTTTATCCACATTGGTCTTTTGTGTACACGAGAAAATGGTTCACATTATCTTTGGGAACAGTGTAGGTTGTGATATTAAAACAAATATGAGAGAGCCGATGGAGAGAGAGAGAGAGAATGGAATAACATAAATAAAAGATAAAAACTGTTTGAAAAGGAGGGTGCAACGGTTTTTGTTCATGCATTTTTCGGTTGACCTAAATGTGTATACGGTTAACCTAACTGAAATCTTTCTCTCTCTTGCTCTCGGTGTGTTTATCTCTCGGATCCCGTGATTTTGAGCCGAACGGAAAAATTTTCTCACCCTCAACGCATCAATAGAGGTGATTAATTGAAAGGCCAACGCGTTTTTCAGTTCCCATGCATCTCTTCAACACGCTGAGCGACCCTCGCACAAATTCATCTGTTTTGTTTATTTGTTTTTTTTTTCTCCTTCTTCTCTATCTCCTCTTGTACGCTTAGTACTCACAGAGAGATCATGTGCAGTGCATTTTTTCTGTTTACAGTGAGTGGCTGCGAAGCAGTGCAGTGCAGCTCAATAAAAATGGAAAATACGGTCCCCATTTCTCTCTCTCTCTCTCTCTCTCTCTCTCTCTCTCTCTCTCTCTCTCTTTCGTGTCGTCAATTGATTTCAATGACTTTTCCAACGTATTGTACACTCTGTCTCGGTGTGATCGGTGTGTCTCTCCCTCCATCAAAAGCCATGTACCTGTTTCAAAAGCCACATTTGAACTTCATCATGCCATGAGAATTCCATTGCGATCTAGACGAAGCCGATGTGTGCTAAAAACCGATTTGCACACAATTTAATCCTTTCTTTCACTTGATTTGGGGTCGATTGGAACAAATATGAACATCGGTGCTGAATAGGGATAACTGAGATCGGCTCTTTATTTTCTACTGTTGAAAAATGCTATCATCGTTGAAATAGCAATCATGACATATGAATCAATACGGGACACTTTTTATATGCCTTTTATTCCAACCGCTTTAACTTTTGCTAACAGTGAAATACTGTGGCATTTTTTTCGTAGCATTTATATCCATTATTTACCCCTTTGTTATTACCACCATATTTTTATTGAGTTTTCAATTCTTTTTCATTCACCTCATGAATTTAATAATAATAATAATCCTCTATCGTCAATTAACCCTTCAATTTTCGCCTCTTCATTCAATTTAACCTCTGGCTTTTTTTCACTTTATTCGTTCCATTTTTTCTACACTCTATTCGAAGAAGAGCTTGTACTGTCAGAGCATTGCTCTGTTTTAGTTAACACTCATAATAACTTAACAGCAAACGGTCGGTTAAATATCATGTTAAATACCGTTTGTCAACATTCATTAGATCGATGCATATGGCATTTCAAATGGCATCGAACAAGCTGAATGTCTTTGTTTCGAGTTTTTCAAGAGATTCTTAAGTTATGAGGAATCGAAAGCTAAATTACCATCAATTATGTTGCATCGAATGGACCAAAAATCTCTCCTTTTTTGCATATGTGCACTTTTCATCTCTTCTTCGTCTTTGCATTTAATTTGCAAGTGAGGAGAACAAGCATCATATTTACCAAAAAGCGAGTCAACGGTCCACCTCAAGTAAATAAAACCGACAAAGATGAATAATTTGGTTTGGTGTAACCAAAAAATTGTGGTGTTATTTAAACTTTGCCGTGCAAAATCACAGACGACTAATCGTCGCATCGAAAACGTATGCTCTTTGCTTAACCCAATTATCGGATGACCAGAAAAAAAAGTCATCTGCACAATTTTGATACGACCATTCACATTTGATTTGTACAAAACCAACGGAGACAAAAAAACATACATAGCTATTGATCGATGAAAAAAGTCATGATCAGCAAAAAAGTAGAAAAAAAATGAAGAAAAAAAAACGAAAAAGATTGCGCAAAAGCCACTACCCGTCGATATATGGTACAATTAGCATCCCAAGAGACGATTGCCATTGAATTTCAATCGGCAAGTGTATACATTGAATTTGTGCTCCGTGCTAGTGCTCGGCGTACGAGAAAAAAAATTCCATGAAGTAATTATAGTCATTTGATTGTGGTTTTGTGTGAATTTTGTGCAAATCTGTTCCTGTCCATATGCCATTTTTTTCTGCTCTCCATCATTCTGTTCTGGTCGGAACTGAATCGTGATTTACGGGAGAGTGACATACACGTTGTGTGTTCCTGTTGCACCATACCGCATTGAAATTTTTTTTTTGGAAATCACACACATAATTTGCAAGAGTTGAAATTGGGATTTGAGAGCGTTTGGGGTTTGTGTGATCAATTTTCGTAGAGTATAGTCATATGGCATCGTCGACACGATGTGATAAATGCCAAAGAATCATTGTACGCTGAAACATGTGAAATCAATAAGAATGGCTTGTTTATTGCAAGTGGAAATGTATACATATTCGTGATGATGGCAAGCGATCAGTGAGGGAAGCCGGAAAGTGTAATTTACTGTCTCTGTTATACACCCCGCATTTTCGTTTCCATTGCGGTCAAGTAATGACATATACAGCCGGTCAATGGGCCAACCTATTCGATTTTTACTTTTCTCCGCTTCAATGTCACCCATCGAATAGTCGTCGTCATCGTCGTTTGTGGCTTTTATATTTATCCGAATTGACCCAATTAATATACAACAATGCAATATCATAAATTATGAATTTCACGCAAAATTGCTGATTCATATGTTCAATAAGGCGATACAATAATTGCCACATAAATTTTGCTACTGTAAAATCGGTACAGTGTAAAATGAATGCAGTGCAAAACGTACAAAATCTACCGAAAGGACACTTGAATCTCTCTGATTTATTTGCAGAGAATAAATTATGTATTCGATGCAACAAAAAAATTCGGTCTCGTCGCGCTAAAATTGTATCGTATATAAAGGTATAAGGTAAAAATTGACCGTATAAAGAACAAATTATCCGGCAAGTACGAAATAAATCAAGAAATAAAAGGCAAAGGCAATTGATATCGAACGTTGAATAAACAACGTTGCAACGCTTCGATACCGAAAGGATGTACCGTTAAAAGAAGCTTGTCAAAATAATTAACGATATTCAAAATGTTCGAAAACATGTTATCAGAATGTAATTGAAGTTCGATATCGCGTTATATTTCATTGCCATTGCCCGGGCAATGTCGCCACCGTTGCTGCTGTTGCCGAGCGCCGTCATCGTCGTCGTTCAGAAGCCATCGGTTGTGAGTAAATAATGACGAAAAGTGTAAACATTCGGAAAATGATTGGACATGTATTACGCTTATCACACAGATACACAGGGCCTGGCATTCCCATGCCAACCAAAACACATTAAGGCAGTACAGGATTGTACACGTCATATCACACGTGCACCGAGTCTTGAGCGCGATGTGATGCGACCGAATAATTCACATAAACAACCAAACACACACACACACACACACAGCACCGAGTGAGTGAAGCAATTCAGATGTACGGGTGAAATAATTGATTGCATGCACCACGTGTGCCTGAGTCATAAGTCGAAGAGTGCGAAAAAAAACATTCAACTAGAATGATCTGGATGAAGCTGAACGACAATGCCAAAAGACACCCAAAATAAATACCAATAATAAGTGGTGCTGCTGTTGCTGTTGCTCGAGTTGGAAAAATTTTCCCATGGTTTTTCGGATGCAATGTGCAAAGAGGAGCATCCGATGCTGATGCTGTTGTTGTTATTATTCCTGCAGCCGCCGCACACACCATCGGCAACAAGCAAAATCATGTCTCAACCAAATCAACGCGCAGGAGAATTCATGTTCGCTGCTCTCCGGTCACTGCATCGAAATTCGGTAACAAGCGCACGAATTACGCATAAACACCGAAAAAAACCCAACAACAATACGCAGCAAACAAAAAAAACACTCATAAAGAGATAGAGAGCAAAAAGTAACCACTGAAAAAGTGATCGCTATGCTGCATCAATGCATACACCGAGCCATTACACAGCCAGTTCTGTGTGTATTTCTGATTGTTATTACTATTATTCTTATACACATCGAATGAAAATCACCCTCGCTTACCATCTGCCCTAAATTATTTTTCGAATTTTGTGGGAACTCGGTAGAGATTCATGTTCCCACGATTTCTTTAATAACAGCTTACCGGTATACACATATATAGGTTGTGTGTGTTGTTGCTTTTTTTTTATATCGTCATGTCTCTCTTTATTATCGCATTCATGCACAAACACATCCATTTATGAAATGCCTGAATATATCGTTCCACATATGCGCACACACAAATACCTTGCTGCCGCGCTGCTACCTACTCAAACGCACTGAGTGCGAATTAATCGGGTGAAATGCGTGCATCTCACTTGCTCACACACATGTCCACACTGGATCCCTATACCAATATTCGAAAATGCATACACACAGTGCGCAAACAATGAACAAGATATACACAAAAAAAAGAGAGAGAACAGAACTATCTACTGAAAAGCGTTTACATACATGTTTTCGAATGCATTTCGTTCCCGTTACGGACGTGTTTGTGCCTGTCGTGCTCTGCGCCTTTTTCTGATTCACATGAAATTGTCTAGTTTTTCTGTATTCCCTTTACCATGTTCGTATTCGAACACCTGCCCCTATTCTCGACGCTGATAGGGCAAACGCGTTTTCTCTCTCTGTGTGTATTCACTCTTCGCATTCGTTCGGTGTATACGCATGTGTGTATGTGAGTGAAGTGTATTGTTCGTTGTCGGTGCCTGTGCCGTTGATGCCTGTGCCGGGTCATGTCTGTGTGCTATTGATTCAGTGCGTGTGCGTGCACAGTACTCGGCTCTCGCAATGCATTCTGTGAATGTGCACATGTGAGTGTATGAGTGTGTCGAAAACGCATGAAATTCACCCTCGGACGAGTATATAAGGAGGCGCAAGTGCGTTGTAGGAGTATATTCGATTCAACAGTCGACAAGCAAACAGCTCTCTAGCAAAAACAACTTGTTCAGTATTTTTGAATTTTCGAAACAAATTTTTGTTGAAGTTTTCAAAAAGTGAATTTTTACACACAAGTTCAAAACTAACAAATTAGTTTGAAGTTTTTCTTTTCTTCCTAAACCGACGAAACAAAAAAATAAAAATTTATCAACATGTCGATGTGCTACAACGATTACATTATTGCTAGCAACAATAGCATCAACGAGAACAAATACAACACCGAGAAATTGGCCAAATCACCATCATATCGCATCAAGAAGATTTTGAAGCCAATTTTGCGTATTTTGCGCCAGAAAACATCTAGCAAGAAATCACAAAAAGTCGCTGCCAACAAATTGACCAACGTTGACTATTCATTGGACAGCAACCAGTGCTACTATCACGATGAGTGTCAACATCAAAACGATTACTGGTCATCGGAAATCGATGAGAATTTTGCCAACGAAGAATTGGAATCGCGCATCCTCAACGAAATCGCCGATTGTGAAGACGATGCAGCCATCTATGTGTACAACGATAATGAATGTGAATTGCAAGCCGTTCATCGCGAAACCACATTCATTCCAGTGCATTTCGCTCGCACCGAAGCCGGTACATTCTTCTGGACCACAATGCAAAAACCAATCGATGACGAAGAAACCACATGCTGGTCACACTGCGGCGATCGATGGGTCCAAGCCTAAATTACATCACAACCACCACCATCCATCAATTTCAAGTGCCAACAACATTGATCTCTTCTTGCTAAGTTTTACAGTATCAGGAATAATTTTCATGTTTTAACTTCAATTGAACTGTGGCATATTTTGTGATATTAGGCTGTTAGGGAACTTTTTTTTTTTGAATTGTGATCGAAATGCGAATAATCTTTCAAATTGTACGAGAATTATAACTTTTTTGTTTTGAATCCATCAAATCAATGTTTCATCGAACATTTTGTAAAGACTTCCAACGTCTTCCATACTTTTAGCGATATATTTTTTAATGTTTAATCAACCATTTTTGTTTTAAAAAAAAAACAACAATTTTTTTTACTATACAAAATAAAACAAAACTCTACGGAGGAAAAGAAATTATCCAACTCTTTTTATTTGAGCAAACATTTTATTTTCAGCTTCTTTTTTAAAGGTCTTGATTTCAGCTTCTTTTGGCATTTCAGGTTTCTTTTTCAGCTTCAACTCATCTCTTTCAGCAAAAATCGACTTGAAACATTTTTCAGCATCAAAAACATCTCGTCTGAGCGATGCTAAAAAAATCAGTTTTACATCAGTCTTCAGGCAGCAACAATTCGAACAAACTCTTTGAAAAAATTCACTGTTTGAGCCAAAGAGTTGCTTGAAATCGTTGTACATATCTCCACATCGAAAAGTGTATCTTTTTCATGATGGCTCATTGAAAAGGCTCTGTCTTCCAATATTCAATGTAATGACTACAGCAAAGAAGAAAAAATCTCGGCAACGAAACGAAAAAGGAGAGACAGACAACACAGAGAAAAATTCGGCATTTTTTTTCGCCCAACACGATGAGAGAAGGAAAAAAAGAAACGGTTCGATCGAAAGATCGTGCACGTGCAGCCGAATAACAGCGTAAAGAATAATGACCAACATTTCATTTCTCTCTCTCTCTCTCTCTCTCTCTCTCTCTCTCTCATCTCTTGCTTCATCCCGAATATAAGTATAGGGGTTTTTCGGTTATTGCATCAAAAAAGGCAGGCAATGGTAGAAAAAAAACGGAGCCTAAAAAGAATGTGAACGAATTTTGTCCGTTCAATGAGAGAGCGACCGAAACGAAACACAGAATCAATCGGTATTTCAATGGGTTTCTGTTTTCGATGGAATTCATATATATATATATATGAAATAGATAAATCGAGAGAGAGAGAGAGAGAAAACTCCTAATTCCTTTGTCGAATTAGAACCTCATTTTTGTGATAGAAAGTACGAGAAAATTAAGGATGAATGCACACACAAATCTGTATAATAGTTTTGGATTTCTAACAATTTCGTTCGTTATTTTTTTGTTTGTGTGTTGTTCATCATTCCTTTTCATCCTTCATTCGATGATTGACAAAAGATTCTTTTTTCCATAACGTTTTTTTTTCATCATTCTTTTCTGATTACTACTTTTCCGAAAAACTGTCCCTTTTTCTGACCTAACTCTATTGCTATTGTGTTAATCGTCGATTCTCTTTTCGTATTGCGTCCTATCCCAAGAATATTATATTTGATTTTCTCTCTATCTCCTTCTTCTTCTTTTTTTACAGAAATTAATAATAACAGAAGAAGAAAAATGCGCAAACAACACGTCACCGAAAAAAATGAAATAACAGAAAACTAGATGGAACTTGCTTTTACCGATAAGATAGTCGGCGTATACGAGAAAGAGAGAGAGAGAGAGAGCAAAAAATTGTTTACCGAATTTATTTAATGTTCGGTCGGCTCCAATTCCAGGTAGATTTTCACCTTTTTCCCATTTTCTTTATTGAAACAATCTATTCACGCATGAAAAATATCTAACACAGAATTTGTGCATTGTCTATTTGGATTTTAGCCAATTCTATTTGCTAGTGCTATTATTCAGGTGGATGAAAGTAAAATAAAATTGAAATCACTTTGTATTGTGTGTGTGTGTGTGCTTTTGGGGAAAAAGAATTTCGGCATTTTCGCTTAGGTAGAAAATATGAAAATGATATAAGAGTCGCATTTTTACCTATTGCATAAGACCCATGGAATCTAGAAAGAATGCATTCGTTGCAACGAGAAACACAATTTTCGGTCCAACGATTGAAAAAATCTTTTTTTTTTTCATTTTTTGCTGGATTTTGTTTTGCAAAGATGGAAAAAAAATTACAGAAGCTCTTTGCTTTTCATCGAAACAATTTGAAAATGGTTTCATTTTGCTAAAATAGCTTCGAATTCTTAGGTAATTCTTCTTTGATCGTGAAAATTGCCATCGCTATTCTTTCCTTTTTAGAGACATTCTCGCTTATGATTCTGTGAGAATCGAATGATTCCATGTGAAATGAACGATTCTTCGGCAGAGAAATCCTCCTTTTGTGATCTTTTGTGGCGAAATTTCTTTGAATCAACCTGAATCAGAAGAAAAGTAGAATTATTTTCGTTTGCCAAAGAATCGTTTTCCTTTGGCATAGAATCTTTGGTGAAAGAGGTCATCTTATGAGAATGAATCGTCGCCAAAATGAATTTTTCGATATTTATGGCTTAGAATTTCCGTTCGAAGAAGAATGACACGATTGGCCGATCGAGCAGTAAATGCATAGTCGAAAATTGTCACCCTGCAGTCGAATGTTATACAGCATAACTTCTTATGTCCGAATCAAATATTATCACCAGAGACAGCAATCAATTGAGTTAAAATTCCATTGAATGGCATTTTTGAGTCTTCCTTCTTGATAATGGTTTTGGAAAAGTCATTGAAAATCGAATTACATGTCGAAAAAAAGGTTGTTCAATAGAATGTAACATTGTAGCAGACCATATCGGATGGTGGTTGATGGTCATTCAGACCATTTCCGCTCCGTTTTCATTAAATACACAAAAAGTGATCATAAATCGTTGGATTGAAATGCTTTGATTTGTTCAAGATTTTTGTCATTCTCACACAGTCAACGCATTCGTTTGTTCCTTTTTTTATTCAATTGAAAGAGTCAAGTCATTTTTTTTTTGGCTTAAAAACATCCGTTTCAATGGAATAAAACGAAGCGTTTCGAGAAAAAAAAACCTGACACAATGTCCTTTTTCATAGTGAAAAGTGGCTAGCTTCCAGAATTCCGTGACTTGTACAATGTGTTTTCTTCGAGCGACAATTTCAAGAGACTGAAAAAAATGTGTAATTGTTTGTCATTTAAAGACAGTGGGAGTTAAATTGTAAAAGGTCACATACAAGAATCTAGTTAAATGGGCAAGAAAATGCATGTGTAGACACGTACATCGAGTGCGGCTCGTGTTGTCGCTGACCATGCAATGTTGCGCATGTTGCAAAAAAAAAGAAAGAAAAAAATCAACAAAGAAAAAACACATCTATTGTACACATCATTGGTATTTTGCAACTTCTTTGCTTTTTTACTGTTTTTTCATGCAACGTCATGTCCTTTCCATGCAATTCCATCGACGTTTCCACTGTTCAACTTTGTACTCGATTTGCACATGGGATTCGTTGCAAAGCAACAACAATCGGCGACATGTTCTGGAAACTGCAATTTTCTATAAGTCGAAAATGATCGTTATTTTGCATGTGCATTTTCTTACTATGGTGAATTTGCTTTCCTTCTGCGTCCAATACCGAAAAGAGATGCATTGTCGAGAGTCACGTTCGAAACGGTTGCTTGAAATTGTAATGTATTTGGTCTTTTTGGAAGATACTTTAGTCAACAATTCATTTTCCGGTTTTTTTTTCCTTAATTTTTTGTTTTTCTTCATTTTTCTCATTTCCTCGTTCATTTCAGCCAATTCTGTGAAGAAAAGAATCAAATAGTGTGATTTCAATCAGAGTTGAAGAGCAAAAACAGCAACAACAACAGCAACAACAAATTATGCGTCGCAACCGAAATGATAAAATGTTAAATGCATTGTCGAATGTAGTTGTTATCAGTGAACACGTCAAGTTGTATTAAATTGCGTGAGCTGCAGGCAACCAGTTCGAATGCCGAACATCAATCAATCGCACCTCCTTTCTCTTATCGGCTCTAGTCCTGTTTCTGCAATTATAATGAAACGAAAAAGATGATTTCATGGATGAGACAGATTAGAGTATGCGCGCGACCCACGGATTGACAGTTTCCGTGTCTATCAGTCGGAAAATCTTATTATTTATGTATTATCTAAAATTCACTTAATAAATGGAATCGTATGTGTGTGTTTCTCATTTTCGCGGTGTAGATTCAAAGGCGATTTGTCCGTGATATTTTTTTTTCTCGAGTTCTGTTGCTGTTTCGGTGCCATTCGAAACGATTGTCGCACAGTCAATATCTGGTCGATTCCTTTTTTGTCGGTTGTTTCGTTGTGCGTGCATTTTATCTTTATGTTTATTTATATTTTTCGTTGGTCTCTCATTCCTTGGTGTGTCGATGCACAATCGGAGAGAAAGAGATCTCTTTTCTTCGGTTCAAAAAGTAATTTGAACACGTGTGCATCAAGCGAGAGAAATCTCTCAAAGGGTATAGCTATTAAAAATTCTACCGAAAACGACATGAAGAGAAGAGAAAACAAACTACACTTAAAGAAAGAACACAAAAGCAAAGATAACGAACATTTTCAAGGCAACAACAACCACGTCGTGAAAAAAATATATGATTACAGCATTGAGAGAAGGATGATGGAGATAGAGAGATGCAGAAGAAGAAATGAATACAAGTGAAACGAAATTTCATGCGAGACTTTGTTTTAAACACCATAACTTGATGCTGGTAAAAATTGGAAAAGGGACTAACATTCCATTAGGACAATAAAATTGCGTTTGAGGTTCGTTTTTTTCTTCTCTCAGTTCGTTTGTTCCTTTCATCAAATTGATCGTTTTTCTTCTCTCGGTCGTATGCATAATTTGGAGAGGGAGAGAGAGAAAGGGAAAAGAAATCGAAGCTAGTGGTTCTTTGTGTAACACAAATCAAATTCGATTCTTATAATAGCCCGCTTTGATACGGTCGCGTTGGTCCCTCGCATTTTCCCAATAGACGGTGGGAGAGACAGAGAGTGAAAAAATAGGCTGAAAAAACTAACGCTGTCTAGTTCGATTAGAATCTTCAATAATTACACTCAATAGACGTGAGCGCACGTCGCGCTCACAAACAAGGGTAGAGAATTATTTATTCCACATTCAACAAGTGACGTGGCCGTATGATAGATAATGGTTGAATCCTTTTTTTTCACTCTCTTTCTCTCTAATCGAACTAATAAGAAGATAGTGGTGCATACAAAAAAAAGAAAACTATCAATAATGGGAACAAGTAATCAACCAATAAAACTTGATTCAATGACGCATTTTTTTCTTTCTTCGATGTTATTCTTTCTCTTTTGTTTATCGGAATGCATCACGCGTTTTATCGCGCACT